GTTGGAGGAGTGGGTCCCACGTTACTTATTCCTTGAGAGCTGAACTGGAGTGATAGCACAGCCTGTCCTAGGCAGAGTGCCTGGTTCCCGTGGTGCACACCAGGCAGAATTGATTTTCCTTAGCCAGTCATCTTTTGTTTGCTTAGTCAGTCCTTCTTATTTTCTTCTTCCTCTCAAAAAACCCAGCATCACATTACAGTATTCTGTGACATTTTACTGTTTAAGTCACATTTCCTCTTAAGAAAGACTCACTTACTGGAATGAAAAATTAATACAGTATTATTTTGGAAATTATAAGCAAAAAGCATGTCAGGCTTAATAACTTATTAATAATATCAAAGTTATCTGCAGTTTCATATTTGTAGATTTCCTTTAAGTGATTCATGATATAATATAAATAAACATGTTATCAAGTTGTTGACATAAAGTCTTTTAGGTGATTATTGCTTATAAACATTCCACATATTAAAAATTAAATATTAAAAGCTAATATTTAAATGTGGAAATTAAAGAGACATGTTCCTTGAGGATGCTGGGATTTCCCAAGCTGTTAGCTTTATTTGGGTTCATCTCAGTCTCAAGGAATTGACAGTGATGGTGGTGATAATTATTATGGTATGACGACAATGTCAACAATATTAGCACTACCCTTTGTGGAATCTTTATTGTGTTTCTGGCTCTGCATTGAGTGCTTTCCGCATTATCTCATGTAACCCTCATAAACTCGTAAACGAAGTGCTATTTGCCTTCACTTTACAGATGAGGACAGAGAGGATAGCTTGCTGAAGATTCTACAGCCAGTTGCAAAGCCTAGATTCTGTCCTGGGCTAGAACTCCTAGGTCCGTGTTCTTGATGATTATACTTGGTAGGCTCCCAAATAGTGCATTCCTTCCTTTTAGCTTTTTTATTTAGTTTTTCACTCAGGACTCTTCAGTGTCCCCACTTCTCTACTTTATCTCTTCCCAAACCCCCTTTATTTCTGATTCTGATGTAGCCTCTCCACCTTGTAGCTCAAAAGTCAAAATCTTGATGGTACATTGAGATCTTTGGGAAGACATTCATCCTCGTTTGTTATGGAGTGGCAAGGTGAGAGAGGTTGAGGAAGGGGACAAGTAGCTTCAGGCTAATAGCCTAATTCCAGGAACCTGTATAGATTCCAGTATTTAATTAATTCCAAGGGATTATGCTGCTAATATTTCCTAATTAGGTCAACTGGCCTTCCCCATTGTTCTGTGGTCTCTCATGGAAAATCATTTGTGTAGGGAGCTGTGCAAGGTGTTTTCCAAATGAAGTTCGACAATGGCTTTGGAACATTGTATAAATCGGATTCTGTGTATTTGTAAATTATGCTGACAGGCAGTCCTATAACACAGTGAAGTCAAAACAGTCTCAGGGAAAATGGCCTTTTCATGCTGTACCTAGGCCATAAAAGGGAAAGGATTGTAAAGGTACCATGTTATGTGTGACCATTGTTAAATTCAATCTAAGACAGTGTTTTTTTCAGATTATCTTAAAGGAACTAAATGAAATAAATTCTTAAAATGTACAATAATGGGATAGTAATTAAATTAAAGACATGCTTATGAAGAACCTACTGTATGAAAACTTACTGTTATATACTGTAAAGTTTAAAAGAATTAAGATACAATTCATAATTTTAGAGAGTTTGCTATTTAAAATAGAGACCAAAATATGCATGTAATTAATTAAATGGAACAAAATATAATATAAATGGCATGTATCAAAGACAAAACGTAGACTGAAAGAACATAGCTTAATTGAATTGATCTACTACAACATAACTAATTCATCCAGCTGCAGTTAATTGAGTGCCTACTATGTGCCAGGTCATGAGACCTCTGCAAACTAAATTCTTGACTATTGTATTTTGCCATCTGTAATGCACACATTTTTGCCCAAATATTTGAGGGAGAAATAAGGATTCACATTATACATAGGTAATACTAATTCCCTATCTATAGAAGTATTTTTAATTCTTTTATTTATGCTTATGCATTAAAAATGTAACTCGAGAAAGCAATAATGATATCCATATGCAAAATAATACCCTGGCATATGATCATTGTTAATGTTTTGTTTTTGTATGTTAATGTTTGTATGTTAATGTTTTGTTTTTAAATATAAATAAATAAATAATTGAATTAAAATGAAAGACATTTTCCTGAAAGTTTGGGCCAAAAATGTGGGTGTGCGTTGTACAGGGCAAAATACAGTAATTTTCAAGATACTGGGCAGAGAATTAAAATAGCTTCAGATTTGGAGTTAGAAAAACCTAAATCAAACTTGGCCTTATCAATTACTCATTGTGTGACCTGGGCAAATAATTTATAATATCTTAGCTTCACAGCAGAAATCAGAAGCTCCTCTTTGATTCCATCTTTCAGCTTCATCCTACACATAATCAACACATTAGTCTTCAAATATTTCCTGAACACATCGCGTCCTTTCTATCCACGTCCCCAGTCCAAAGGCCGGCGGCCCTCATGATTAGTTTATGGAGTCTGCAACCCAAATTGGCTTTGCTGTCCTTATATAAATTCTCCTTTATTTTGCCATGAATGTTGTAACTTTCGAAAAGTTACAACAGTCTTTCTAAAACTTTTACCTGACTATGTATAACACTCCTCTGCTCAGAAGTCTTTAAAAATTTATTTATTTATTTATTTATCTTTAAAGGGGAAGGGAAGGAGAGAGGGAGAGAAATATCAATGTATGGTTGCCTTTTGTGTGTCCCCTGCTGGGAACTGGCCTGCAACCTAGGCATGTGCCCTGACTGGGAATCGAACCGTGGTTGCTTGATTCCCAGGTCCGCGATCAATCCACTGAACTACACCAGCCAGGGCTGCTCAGAAGTCTTTAGCCACTTCGCATTGCCCAGAACATGCAAGTCTGTACTTCAGGCCTTTCGGACTTCTAGTGAACCGAGCTCTGCTTACGTTTTTAACTTCCCGTGCCTGTCTTCCTCATGCACACCCTGTGTTCCCCTAACCACCAATCTGTTCTGTGTCTCGGTGCTTTTGCACACAGTCATTTTTTTATGCCAAAACCTGAAATTTATCCCTATCTTCATTCCACCAATTCTATCTGAAAAACTTGAAATTTTTTTGCTCTTTTAACACATTGCTTAAACACCATCTCCTTTATAGACTTATCTTGACAATCCTGACACAGGTAATTTTCCATTATTGTACATGCACAGCGTGTTTTATATGTCTCCTGTATTAGCACTATGCAGTCTTACGCCATTCTTTGTGTCTGTGCCAATTGCCTCAACAAGACCAAACCTGAGAACAAAAACAAGGCCTTTCATCTTTGTGTCCTCAGTCCTAATGTAATGTCTGCCATGGGGAAGCTGTGCAATAAATATGTATGGTAGCGATGAAGTCAGGTGTGGGGATAAGTGGGGAGAACCAGGAACTGCTTTGTGGAGGAATCGGTGTTTGAGGTAGGCCTTGGAAAACTTCTGAAACATTTCCTGAATTTTAAACATGTAATTTTCATATATTTAGTATGTTAATATTTCTACATCCTCACCTGATGATATACTTATTGATCTTTGAGAGAGAGGAAAGGAGAGAGGGAGAAAGAGGGAGAGCAATGAGAGAGAGAAACGTTGACTGGCGGTCCCCTGTGTGCGCCCAGACCAGGGATTAAATCCACATTTTAGGTGGATTTAATCACCTAAAATCAAACCCACAACCTTTCAGGGCACAGGATGATACTCCAACCATACTGAGCAACCCAGCCAGGGCCATTCAGTATATTAACATATACAAAGCTATATATCTTCATGATTCTCCTTTTAATACATAAGCCTCTTGCCAGTGAAGCTTTCTCTTTTCTATTCAGGGCCTTAGGGGCAGTGCCTGGAGCATGGTAAAAACTAAATAAGTTCGTTAATTATCTGACTTAGAAAAGTACCTTTCTAATGCGTCCTAGAGGATGCCAGCCCTTGATTTCAGAGACGTACCACTCTGATTCTGCAGTACTATGTGACATCAGAAATACTCGACTTTTCATCTGGGTCATAGATGGCTCTACCCTGTACCTTGTAGCAACGAAAAGTGTTTATATTCACTCTGTATATGTAATTTGTCCTGAACATGTTTAAAAAGTATAAAGTACATCTTTGATCCACAGTGGAAAAGCCTGTAACAGTCTGGGCACCTCACTGCTACTTGATCGAACTCGTCCTGGGCAGATCAGTGAGTCTGATTGTCAAGGTAATAACCTGGGCATCTTCCCACTCCAAGTCACACCTCCACCAGTGATAGTTAAGCTCTTAGGGATCCTAGCCAATTTCTTATCTGAATTATTTAAGGGGAATTAACATTACTTTCTTAGATATTACATTCTTACCTGAAGTATTGCACATTTCCACATGAGTGTATCATTTAAAACAGGGGTCCCCACACCCGTCAGTGGCCGGTTAGGCACCAGGCCCCACAGCAGCAGTGAGCAGTGGGCAGGGGGGGGAGTGTCCTGGCCTTGCTGCTGGAGCTCTCCTCCTGTCCTGCACCCCATGCTGTTCCTGATGCCTGGCGCCACAAATGTTGGGGACCACTGATTTAAAATACAGATGAAAAAACACTGACAGTAATAAAAAATGGTAAATTACAGAAATCCAGAACACAGTGAAGAAAAAGAAATCTGTGTAGTTGCAGTCTGCTTTGAGACCAGTTATTCCCTTTATGCTAAACCTTCGTATTTACCAATACAAGTGTTTTTATTTTGGTAGCATGTCATGGGTAGGAGCCAGGAAACTTGTCATTGGAAACCTCAATGGTTTTTTCCACAAGAAAGAGAGCTCTGTGAAGAAATTTCCCTGTTTGTAAGTCTTCAACTTGAAAATCCCTCCACAGTAAGAAGGGTATTGGCTAAATTTGAGGAGTTGATGGAATATCTAGAAGGATCATTGTTAAGTAGAATAGGGTAGCATCTGAGATGTAGATATATAATTATAGTTGGACATAATTATATGTGGATTAAGAAGGCAGACTTGGAAGTGGGGGCTGGCTTGCTTTTGTCTCTTCTTCAGTCAAAAGGTGGAGTTGCTCCCCACCTTTGGGAGTTTTCTGCTGAGTTCTCAGCCTACAGAAGCCTTGCTCCAAGCCAAGACAGATTTTCCAAGAGAAGGCAACTTCATTTTCATGGCAAACCCTCAGACCCACGAACCTTCTCCCAACTCTGTCCTTCTCGGACCCCGAACCACTGTAGGCAGAGCAGGAGGTGGCACCAGAGGTTCCGATGGGGCGGTGGGGACGACCCCCTTGAGAACTGTATTTGCAGCTGTCGAAGAGTAGCCAACAAGCACCAGATTTATAAGCACTTTGAAAGAAGCCCCTTAACCATTGGCTTTTTGAGCGGAGCTGTCGCTAGGGAGCAGCGGGCAGGGAGAGCACAAGCTGGGGATAAGCCCAGGTTGTTTGTTGTTGTAACCTGCGAGAGGGGCACACGCACTCTACACTCGTACACACGCTCCAGCGAGTGAGTTGGAGCCCCGAGGCCCCTGTCCTTGGAGGGCGCCCCCAGGTGCCGCTCTGGGCGGAGCAGCAGCTCCCGGCTAGCCTCCCAAGCCCTGATCCCTGCTGCTGCTGCCCAGAGGAGCGAGGCACCGAGGCTCCAATTCCCCAGCGCCAGCTCCGGAGCCAGCGCTGCGGGGAGGGAGAGCAGTGGGGGCGGGTGCAGCAGGAGAGCGCGATGAATGAGTTCCCCCCCACATCTTCGAGTTGTCTGAGTTGGCGGTGCCGGTGCTGTGCGGGGTTTCCGGCTCTCAGAGCCCCACGCTTGTGGCTCCGGTGGCTGCAGCCCACGCCCACAGCCCAGGCCGAGCCCCTCCAGGCTTGGGGAGCCCAAGCTTGCTAGCTCCTGTCCCCGCCCCAGTCCAGGGAGAAGGTGGGTGGGCCCCCAGCAGAGGCGCGTTCTGCCCGCACTCGGCGCCGGCCCCTGCTGTCTCTCCATGGCGTCGTATCAGCAGTCCCGGATCCAGGCTTACCTGGAGAAGAACAAGATCGGTCCCCTGTTTGAGGTAAGGTGATGTGGAGGAAGGGGTGCCCAGAGGAAAGCAGAACATGCTGGAGGGAAGGAGGGATAGAGAACAGCGGAGCAGGAGGGGCACCCCTGTCGCTCCTGGTCGCTGCTATTGCCCTTTTCGGGGCCAGGTGTCCTGGAACCCAGCCTGTACAGCACTTTCTTGGTTACCTGGGCGCAGACAGGTGCGCTCGGCAGGGTCCAGTCTCAGCCTGGCCGTGGAAGTTTGAGCCGTCCGACTGTCCAGCAGCACCTAGAAGCCACATGCCCAAGACCCTGACAGACTGAGAGGGATGGCGCACACACACACACACACACACACACACACACACACACACTCTTACTAGAATTCACACTGTCTTGCATATTGGATTTTTTAAAAATGTGGGCAGTAGTATAACCCGAAAAGGTGGAGGAGGTGCTTAGCAGTGGAGAGCAACATGGTTAACAGAGAGAAAGTGGAACTGGTAAGGAGTGGGCTTCGGTAGGAGCCGGCGTGTTGAATGAAATGGTCAAACTGAGATGCTGACATCTGTGTCCGGATGAGAGGAGAGTCCTTTGCACTGCAGACCCCACCTGGGTGAGAGGGAGAAAGGGGAGGAGAACGGTTCAGGAAAAGCATACGAGTATTTATGGGAAGGAGACGTAGCTCTGCTGTGCTCCCTTGCCAAAAAGAATTGATGACAAAAATACAGCAGGAAAAAGGAAGAACAGGAGGACTCAAGAAAATGAGAATGGGAAAGAGAAACCTGGCGGGGGTCAGACGTCCCACTGGTTGTTGGGATGCTGGGCAGATGCTGAGGCCAGCAGGGGTGACGCCCCTGGTCCCTTCTCCTCCAGGTCCAGACTCCCAAATGGGCCCCCTAGGGCAGGACTAGGGGGTTTGGGAGGGTCCAGATACCATCCCTAGCCCTCCTCCCCCAAAACAGTTGTGGCCACTCTTGGGGGTTCCATGTTCCTGGCCTCAGAGTAAGGCTGATGCTGGGCTGTGGGGAGAGACTGAGAATAGAGAAGCTTCTCTAGGATTCAAGAGGGTGAGCACCACAGAGAGAACAGGAGAACTAATGCCCCAGTACAAAAAGGGAGGGGGTGACAAGGACGGGAGACCAGGTACATCTTTTATCTGGGGAGCACGGGTTTGAAATATCCAAGACTGCTTGATTTCTTAGGTTTTCCCGCTCAACTGCAACTTTCTGTCTTGAACGACAGGACCATAGTTTCTACAGAAACTCACTGTTGTTAGAGTCCTAACATCCTATGGTGTGTGTCTTGATTCTTGTTTCTGCTGAACGTGTTAGCAGAGGAAGTCCATATCCAAAACCGATGTAGAATTGCCGGAGCTACTGGAGTTCTTTTCTTTACTGTTGGTGAAATATTTGGAAAATACAGGTAGTGCTATAGGTATATTTTTAGAAGTAGAAGCCTTACCTTTTGTAGCACAGTGTATTAATTGCATCAAAAGAAACATAAAATAAATATTTATGTTTAGAGGGTTTCTACTCTCTTAGAAAATAAAGTACAGGTAGCATAAATGAAATGTTTTTAATAGATGGTAGTTTCATTTAACATTTTAAAATTCTGAAAAGTCTCTTCAAGTGATGATAGAGTTTGGAATGCATGCAAACCTTCTGCATAATTAGGAAATAAATCTATTTATGTTTATATAAATATATAAATCTTTATATTTATCAAGTTCTCATTTCAAGAAAATGCTTACCAGCTAGTCCTGCACTGATGAATTTTAAGTGATGTCAAAATTTTCCCATAAAATTGTTAGACCTCCTCACTAAACAACAAACAAACAATGACAAAATTACATGCTTTGTATTTTATTGATTTCTTTGGTGACATACTGCATATCTCCCCACAAGCAGTGATGAGTAGTTAATTTTTAAGGTGTGGACTTTAAATAATTGAAGGGAGAAAATAGACAAGTTCTCTTTTAACAAAAGCAGGCCCTAATACAATACTTTTGACCTTTGTATAGAGCCTTGGTTTGGAGACTAGAATTATACATACTTCACAAAATTGGAAAATCTCACTGGCTTGTGGCTGCCTTTCCCTTCTCATGCTGGAAAACAGTGTACCTGGTGTGAAAAGGATCTCGTTGCTCTACCGTTCTTCTCAAAGCCCCCACACTTTGGTCACTGGTTCATGTAAGGACTGCCCGGGACAATAACAAACAAACAAAAAATAAAACAAACAAAACACCTGCTCAGGAAGTCAGAGGAGGAGCCAGGGATCCAAAGAAGAGGCACAGATGATTATTCCATATTTAATTCCTGGGTCACATTATAGAGACAGTGACATAAGCTAAAAATTGCCTTTTGTCAATCACACATTGGAAGGGGTAGGTGTCTCCAAGTTTTATTCACTGTTGTGATTTTTTTGTGTGCACGTGCTGAGGTGCTGGAGGTGGTAACATCAGTTTTCTTTAGTTTTGAAAATCTGTAAGACCTGACATTGTCCCCTTTGTCGATTTTAAAATTAAGAATGTTTAAAAACATTTTGGAGTGAGGTACTTTAAAGAGAGCACATGAATGTTACTTGAAAACATAGCAAAGGTATCATACTATTCTTGAAAATACTTGTATCCTGTTTTTTCACACATATATCTTACTTACTTAGTTGTTATTTAGTTTATTTCTTACTTAGTTTTTCTTTTTTTAACAATTATTATTATTTTTACTTTTAAAAAAGATTTTATTCATTTATTTTCAGAGGGAAGGGAAGGGAGGGAGGAAGAGAGGGAGAGACACATCAGTGTGTGGTTGCCTCTCGTGTGCACGTGCCCTGGCATGTTCCCGGACTGGGGATCGAACTGGTGAACCTTTGGTTCTCAGGCCAGCACTCAGTCCACTGAGCCATACCAGCCAGGGCCTTACTTTATTTGTTTCTAACATTTTATCATTTAAGAAGCTTATAAAGTGCTCTACACAATACGGTGTTTCAAAACTACTTGAAATGAATCTTGTTTCCAGGTGATTTAATAGTATAAATTTATACTACCTTTAAATGTGATTTAAGATGTTTTGAGGCGTTGTAGAACCATGCCTAGAAATCCCTGCACTGGAGTCTCGGGTAATGGTATTTTAATCAGGTAATAAGACGATGTGGGGTAAAAATGGTAGTGGCGACTTAATTCCACAACTCTTTGATATTTTTAATATATTTTTATAAAGATGTAACACTTTCAGTGTTCTGTGGGCTTACTCAGGGCTGACAAGTCGGCCAACCTGGGTATCAATCTATAAGGTATGCTTGACACTGCTTCAGTAAATTAGCACTATAAGCTTATTTCCTACGAATTTCCACACGTGGCTCCTTAACTGTGACATGGTTTGGCTCCCACCAAAGGAGAGTGTTTTTGCAACATAGATAGGCAAGATGTATGGTGTAAACACAAGACATCTCAAACCCTAAGGCCAGCTACAAAACAGTCAAAGAATTTGGCAGTCAGAAATTCTGAAACGGAACAATTAACTGGCATATAGCCTTTTATTAGGATCAAGTGATTAGTGATTTATTTGCTTATATTGTAAGCAATTTAACTTAGTTCCCAAGAGATTATTTGCTGTGGAGTATCACAATGAGTTTAGTTTCAACATACAGAAGTATACAATTTTAGTGTTTCCCATTTCCATGAAAAAATAGAGTAATTATTTGAAAATTATTGGTAGTAAGCGTGTTCAGGGCAGTGATATATCTTGGTTCAGGCCCAAGTGTACTCACAAAAATGTAAAATCCTAAACTATTAAACAGCTGAGTAATAAGGTCTTCATTAAATCTCCATAGGATTTTTAGGTCTATGGGTACTGAATATGTGGCCAACCAAATTCACTACATTTCTCCAGGTGTGGTCTGACCCACTCCAAGTAGAATGGAAGCACTTTATCACCTTCTTTGTTTAGCTCAAAGGACCTCTGACCACGTGGTCTGAATTGGTGCTCACGAATTTGGCGTACGTCATGAGGTGGACTTGTGTCAAGGGTGTGGTCACTCATAGCCTGCATCGTTCATGCACTTGGTGCTGCACAAGTTGCTTTTTGCAGGTACCTAGCCCCACACTTTTCAGCCACATCTGTAACCCTGAAAACCACTGGCTTGGAGAGTATCGGATAGTCACCCAGCAGAATCAGATTTGTTACACTCGAGTAGAGGAGTGTTGAGAAAATAAGTAAATATACTGAAAAAAAAAATGCAAGCCAACTCCCTCAGTGGTGGAGATGAGAATCACAGATATAAAAAGGAAAAAAGGTAGAATGAACCTTGAGGTGCTGGAATGAAATTGGAGGTATTAATGTGATTTTGTGACTTTTAATAATAGAAATAGATATAGATGTAACAGAAATAAGTATAGATTTGTGTGTATTAAAATATGCATAAATGTATACATTTCCCTTACTCTGCCTTACTGTGAGGATTAGCAGCACCTCCATAGCAGGGAGCATTCTTAGTGACCGTATTTCGGGTTGTAAATGCCATTCTCTGTTAAGTGGAACCAGGTACCCTTAGAGAAATTGTTGATTTCAGCCTTGCAGCTGGGAAAGTACAAGATGAACCTGGAAAATCTTATTATGCCAGAAAGTAAGAAAGCGGCCAAAGAAAAATAGGTACATGTCAGAAGACATAGAAACCAGCTTGAAGAAGCTCTTATTAACTAAATCTGGGACAATTTAAGAATAAAAATTAAAAATGATAGTAACAGATTATCTTAACTGTATAATGCAGGAATATTTTACTGCACAGGGGTAATAATGAGATACATGAACGTGTTCAATTTATATAGAGAAGAAAAAGCTCTATCATAAGTAGAATGCCAATGAATAAAAATAGAAAGGATGATGGAATTAGAAAATCACTACTTGGCAATCATCTTAATAATTCAGTCAAGAAACGTTAATTGATGCTTAAACAAATGGGTGAAAATTGTATGAGGAATGAGGTGTTACATCATCTCTAGTATCTTTTCACAAAATAGTTGTTCATTACAAGGGA